AGAGTTAACCTTGGAGCAACCCCGTGGTTGTTGTGGTCTGCTTCGGTAGACCTGCCGTCGGGGCGTCGTAGTTGAATGCGTAAGCGATCCTGCGACGCCCCATTAAGACGGGGGAAGGCTTTGTTGGGTTTTAGTGGGTAGTACTGGCTTTGCCAGTGAGTCCCACACCTCGTGCGTAAATGCATTTTCCAACGTTAAAAAAAAAGGAAAAAAATCATCAGACTGCGCGAGACAGTGCATATGTGCGTAGAGACAAGTTCACTCTCTATTTTCTTAGTTCGTATGTTCCAGTGGGACGACCATTCTACACGAACAGTGGCAGGAAAGTCCCAGTATGGAGTACCGACAGCTTAACGTGTTTTCTAAAGCACCGGGCTTAGAAACCGTCATTTTCTCGACTTATGGCTACTACTGTGTTTTTCGCGACTAAAACTCAGTACCTAATTTAAACAAATGCGGGACTTAAATCCGGAATATGTAGTGATTGGACTTACGGTACTTAACGTAAGGTTATTGTGCAATAATATTGATTTGCAACCATTTTTAATATGAACTAACTGTTCACTTTTAATCCTTCAGTAATTGCAGCAGTATTGTTGTGTTCCAAAGTAGTGTGTTACTAAGTAGTGGTATACAATAATATGTAGGTACTAGGTAGATTATATATTTAAAAATAAATGTAGTTAAATAAATAAGCTTAAAATATTGTTGTTGCAATTTTGTATTAAACGGTGCGTTTATAAAACTTAAGGAAGTGAAATTCTCATTAATCTACTGGAAAGCTAGCGTAAATACTGGGCTGAATATTACTCTTAACAAAACATTATGACTAGGTATTGATACAGTACCACGATGGTATATCAATATCCTGTTATAATATTTTGCTACTACTAATATTTAATTGCGTTAATAGAATACACCTTGAGTTTGAAAAAAATTAGGATCATTGCATTTCTAGGGAGCTTTTATATAATAAACAGAAGCAGTATGCAATTAGCGTGGCATTGCACGCGAAGGATGTAGGGCGGCGTAGGGCGGCATGCGGCGGGTGGACTGCGGCCGGAAATCTTTTATTTGTTCAATTTATTTGCACTATTGTTTGAGTATCGAATTGCGTGTTGTATACATGCACATTTTTGCTGACTAAAAAAATCATTAAAGATCTCACCTTTCGCATGAACTTTTCAAAGTCACGTTTGTATGACATAAACACAACACCAGCTATCAAGCTGGTAATAATATGGCATATTCATGTTATGAATGATGAGACAAAATTTGATTTTAAAATGGAACCTGGGGTTTTCAGCACAATACTAGGTAGTGAACCGATCCATAACACGTCATAACACCAACGAACCACAGTGTTAGAGAAGCGTCGTATATAATATGCTATAGTAACATAAGAATATGATGCTAATGTTGTTATACGTTCGTGTTATATTTTTGGGAGTAGAAAAAGCACTTAAAACACTATTAAGCGTTGTCCGCGAGTCCGGTCACGACCAGCGGGTGGTGCCGAGGGTGCGAGGTTGAGGGTGGGGGTGGGGCGCTCGGATTTATAGCTATAGCCTCTTTAATAATGCATTACAAGGATATTTGATCCTTCGTGACACTCGTACATGTATTCTTTATTCAAGACTTGAGATAGATACATTTCCATATTCATTTATAATGGTTTGACTTCTTATCTAGAGCTGCATGTAACTTTTAAATATCTTCTCTATTAAGTGACTCTCATCATGTCAACTTTTCCGTCTCTTGTTTCATCTGACTTTATCCCATGTTTGTTGTTGCACACAACAATGGAGCATTAGATATATAATATACTTGATTGTTCAGTTAAATAATATTTTAAAGTTAATTAAAAACACTATGAAAAAATATACATCCAGCAGTCGCTGCAGTGCTCTTTTTCAGGAAACTTTAAGGTAGAGGACTAGGTATATACAACAATAGCTTTTGAATTTACTTTAATTATATGTAATATATGTGTTCATACATAAATACACCTACATATGTGACGTTTTGGAAAGAGGCTTATAGTGTATTGAGTGGTATAGGTTAGTTACTTTGGAACCAGATTTTAAATATAGAATATTTATACAAAGTTTATTTTTTTATTAAAGTGTACTGTTCTGCAACAACTGGCTTGTTCTAAAGAATATTTTTATTATTATACATCTATGCCTGTGCGTGTCATCGGTGGTAAATAAAACGACGAATAAATATTAAATATTTTATTTGAAAACAAACTTATCTTTATCATGTATACATAAAGTGTTGTTTCACGCGCACGAGCACTCGCCACTCGTCACTCGCCTCGCGCGGAGTCTTCGCTTCATACATCAAGTGTTCTCGTCTACTTAACTCAATTATTGTAAAACTTCTCTATCAATATAATATGTACAATATTACGCTATACAAACTGTCACTTTAATTTATTACATATAATTATTATATAAACGTTCTTATCGCTTACAACATATTTTAGAGGTTCTTTTAGAATATGACAAATTAAAATGTAACAATCGAGTTCCACCTTCCAGCGACGCTCGCCCTTCACGATCAACCGTAATGAAGCCAAATACCAACGTAATGTCTACATGGTTCTAATTTCATAACAATTATTGTTCAGTAAATTTCATTTAAACTGTCAATAAGTACAGACGTATAAATAAGCACCTATCTCTTTACATTAGGTGCACAATTTCTATAATTATACTTTAATAATTTCAAACAAATCTATAAAAATACTTTTTTAGAAATAAAAATAATTTGATATAAAGCTAATAATTATGAATAAATGTAACATCTATTCGTTTGAAAATAATTTACCTTTCGTATAGTTGAAGAAATTAATCTTGATAAATATTGACTTCGTAACAAGGATGCAGCGCGGGATGGGTGCGCGGGGAGATGGCCGACATTTTATTATATTTAAAATGTAACAATCAGTTATCAACAACAGAGTAGCACGAGCGATCAAATCTGCGCTGCTTTCCTTTAATCAAATCTTTTAAGACCACGTCGAAGCGAAATCCTTGCAGGAGTCCTAAATATTAATATATAAGATTTATACCTAAGAGTGCCGACAGTAGATCCCCTCGCCTCAGTTTCTCTTTATCATTAACTTATATCCAATATTTCTCTCCGGAAAATCTTTTCTACGTTTATATCTAAAATTGTTTATAAAACGTCGTATCAAATATAAGTATAGCTAATATAGACGATAAATGAAATTAAATACTAAAATATCTGTGATTAACGTAAATTGGTGCTAAATACGTGGGAACTAATTACTTATTCCGGTAAAAATGCAGAAATAAATGCATTTTACGTTAAAAGTAGAAACATTGTTAGTATTAGGATAACAATGTTAGTACACGTAGTTATCAACGACGATCGGCCGCGCGGCTCTGGTAAAGAATACTTGCAAAATAAAACATTATAGTACAAAGTTTGTGGGTAGTTGAATATAATTGTTTTGCGGGCAGTTAGCGACTTTCACGTGAGTAACGAAATTACCAAAGCTAATTTCGATCCGACGCACGGCCGCTTCATTTATTAAATTTAACGCACCTCATGTCGCGAGTGATGTAGAGTGTTTCTATCTGTAGGTATCTGTCTCTACATAGAGACCAATATAAGGTTTATACGTTGGAATCAAATTATATAAGCGTGAGTTCGATCGCAGATAAACTGGCTTGCTCTGAGCAACATGCGTGGGGCGTACGGGCGCTATCGCGTGACATTTGAATACGATTTGATATTAAAAATTTAAGATAACTTTTTTACGCTTATCCTACGACATTTTAGACGTCACGTAAAATTTATAATGGCCCTAAGGAGGAGTATGTGGTAAATAATCGTTTTAGTTCGCTATCAATTATAATAAATACATTTTAACAATATAGCGATTACTCAGCGAACACGTTTGTTTCATAGAATTTCTTAATATTCAATAACTAATAATAGTAATTAATTCCGTTTGTCTCGTGTGTCTAGAAACTTTATAATTATCTCTATACAAATATCTTATTTGTTAATTTATTAAATTCTATAATATACAAAAGATGTTGGAATGAAACTATTATCGTGAGAATATTTGCATTACAGTTCCGACACTAGCGGTGTGCCGCCGCGTCTCCACGCGCCACGCGCGCGCATCTAACACACACTTTAATATATGTACTTCTAAGAGAGAATACATATTGGATGACTTCATGTATACATTGACTATACACAGGAAAATATTTAAAGCTCATTTTATCAACTTAAATGAATAATTAAACTTGGTAATATGGAAACGTGTCTTAATTATCTTGAGCTTTTCAATAAACATACATAGTATTATAAAAACAATTGCTTGTTTCCATTGCGTCTCTCTGGTACAGACCAGGCATGCTACCTAGTGCTGCCCGCGCGTGTAGCGTCATGTCGGCAGCGCCGCTGCACGGTATACAATATACAAGTAATAAATACAATCGTTCTTTTATATTATATCATATTTACAGTGAGGAGGAGCAAAGTATGAACGATCTTTACAAAAAACCCGAGACCAGCTCTTCGTCACATCTTATTAATTATCAATGAAGTTTTCATGTAGGTTATATTTAGAACATTGTTATTTACTTTATACAATAGGTATACATACATATATCGCTTTTCTAATCACCATGATGACTTGTATGAGCTGATTGGCTCAAGTGATCGGGCATGCAGATTGTTAATGAAATTCCAATCAATTAGACAGTGTGACGTGTGACAGGACGCCCTGAGGCCAGCGGAGAGCGGGCCGCGGGGCGGTGACGATCGTTCACGCTCGCTCATTAAACCCTTACATAAAATTTCTAACGTTTTAAATATTTTATGTACTTAATTATTCGAAAACTAAGTTTTCGTCGGATAAAATGGTGTGATGATTGGAGTGACACTTGTTATTGTGGTGCGCGGCGCGTGGGGCGGGGGGCGCGGCGGCGGGCGCGGGCGGGGGCGCATCAGCTGGCGAGCAGGGCGCGCAGCAGCCGCGCGTGCAGCGCGCCCGCCGCTAGCAGCGCCACCACGCAGCGCCAGCTGTCGCTCAGCCCCGCCGACCCCGTTTGCATCGCCGCCGGCCGCTCGCCTGCAACAAACACACACACACAGTGAGTAACATGATCAATCATCATTCTAAATCTTCTTTTCTATTGTTACATAGTTATAGCACATAAGTAAGTATCCCTACAAAGATTCAAACAACCGTGCAATGATATGTATGTACACTACTATATAAATAAAATAAATAAATAAATTAAAATTGTAGAGCGCAGTGGAAGCGTGCTGGGCCCATAACCTCTAATAAAACGACCGCGTTGAGATTCAAAAAGAACTATAATCATCTAATAGACATGGCACAGACAATCTAACAAAGACATGAACCACAGACATATAATACTATACTACACAGATAATTTAGCAAATATTACAATTTAGAAAATATGAAAGCAGAGGTCACTGCTTTGTATATAAAAAGATTTTTTTAGATCCATTTCAACAGTTTTAGTTGAATATACTTTCAACGGGTGTCTTTTAAACTAATTAAATGTGAGCTTTCTAGTTTAGCTAGTTTACATAGTCTTTCTAACTTTTTATATAAAATAATCTTTTCGGATTATTAGCCGATTTATTTAAATTTTTGGTTCCCAAAAAGACAGAAAGTTCTCTTTCTAGCTTTTTAGATTTGACAGAGCATAATACAAAAATATTAACAGTAAGCTGGAAATAGAATTCATATAATTATAGATATTGATCACAGTGGTTACCATTTAGCACGTGTACGCGCACGGAGGCGAGCTCTGCGTTGGAGGGCGCGCAGGAGTAGCGGCCGGAGTCGGCGGGCGTGGCGTCCTGCACCAGCAGGTAGGACGTGGTGGCCGAGCCCTTCTCCGTCACCACCGATACGCCGCCACGCGACGAGTCGTACGATATCACCTGCTTCACGGCACAGTCACACATTGTTATACGAGAAGAGCGACTTTCATTAAGTATAGCCTTAAAGTAATGCGCGATGTTTGTTGTATAGTATGATCTCTTGAATTTCTGTATAGAGCTCTTTGTGTTTAAAATCCACAGAGTTAAGTTTTATTTATTAACTTAATTTCGCCGTTGTTACTCGCATCGAGCACAAAATTATGCAACTAAGTGAAGTGAAGTTACTGAGACTTCTAGAAGTCGACTGCGCCTCATTTGGAAAACAAACTTTCTTATTAAATAAAAAATGGTATTTACTGTTTTGGGAATGTTGCGAGTTAAATTAAATTCAGCAACAAGTTTCGGGGATATATAAAATAACTTTTCAAATTTAACGGACCGAATTGTGTTAATTTTAATGAAGCCCATAAAGATCGCGGACACGATTTTAATTACAGGCCAGAGCCGCATCCGCTCCGGGGACAGTGCTGCCGCTGCTCGCAACTACCGCCACACTTCTATCTCGGTAATAACCACTAATAAGCCGAGAGCGCGTTTGTATTCCGTCGCCGTGTCGGAGAAACTAATAGGGGCAATAAGTTGGCGGACTGCTGTTTGCGCATCGGCGCACGTGTTACCGCTAACCTCTAAACAACTATAATGATTAAAATATATTACACATATATTTAAAGCGATAGCGAAATGTTTAGTTATATCGAAATAATATCTGCATATAATGATAGTTTAAATTAATTATACTAATATATTAATAATGTTTGAACGATGGCGTAATAAATCGGGGTGGTGAGTAAAGCTGTAGCGCGACTATGGCTCGTAGGCTCGTAGCAGCACCGCTACGCGCGTAGCCATGCAGCTAACGCGTGCGGTTTGGCGTGTTAGCGCTTAGTGCACTAATATGTTACTATATTTCATGTTATAAAATACATCATGTTCTCTAAATATAGCCGGGTTATATCATTACACAAAGGTTATTAGTTATTATCTGATAACACTGTTGGCGGTGGCCACTATTTATCTTGTTGTGGCGGTCGATTTCGTCTGCGCCCTTCATTAGGGATATTGATACAATAATGCTACTATACATGTTACTATTTAAGGAATGTTGAATGATGTTGAAAGAAAGATGGAGAAAGATAAATTAAATAAAAAATTTCGACATATTTTCTCTCACATATATTGTCAATCGAATCATTTTATTTTGTATGAATTCGAACTAATAATGCAAATTATGTATAATGTTTTATCAACTAACATGTTCATATTAAACTATGGTCTGATTTATCACCTAAAGTTGCATTCGCGAAAAAGCTCCCTCGAGTAGGTAACTGAGTGAGGAAAAAGGAAACATTAAAACATACGCGGCTTCAATATGGCCGCATTGATATCTCTACCGCTGACACTAATTGATCCTCTCGTGTTGATTACCCATTGAGATGTCCCGCTTAGCAACTCGATAGTTGTCTGTCTCTCTTTTAGTTTAGGATTATGAGAGGGTGCGAGAGAGATAGCATTATATCCGCCGCCATTTGAACTTGTATAGCACTAATGAAGTGAGTTTACGCGATAATGAGTTATTCCTGTACGACCCGCGAACGTACAGTCTTGCTGTCATAATTTTTTATATGATAAATATTATAATAAAAATATATATTTCTCTTTATATGAAGCAGACATTTCTGCTATTAATTTTGAAGGTAATATAACGTCTCTATGGAAAATTCAATATCATGCTTTTGCTCACACTTTATGAAATTTAGCTTATAGTATAAATTATATAAAACAATATGTGATGTGCGCAAGAACTACTACTACTGAGTCAAAAGTTATTAAATCAGTAGATTTGCTCGCAGTTCATCCTCAAAGACTTGGAAAGTTTTTAGTCAGTGTCAATAAGAAAACTGAATATAATTCTTTTGCTTCGAGCTGTTCCTTTGACATAAATGAAAAATGCTTTTATCTTTACGACAAAAACTGCTTTAGTGGAAACAGACCATTCACTGCTACTATAATTTTATAATGCGAAATCGTTTATACTGATTGTTTAAGTACCTCTGAGTAAACCTAAGTTGCTGCGTCTTACTGAATTAATATGTAGATATTTATACAGGCTTTGTTTATAAATTGTATAAAAAACTAACCAATATATGTCTAACCAATATATGTATTTCTTAAAAGAGTTATTTTTTGCTTCTATAAAATGTTTCTATAAACTTATAGTTCATATATGCTTGTATGTATGCATATGCATACATATTGGAGCCTCGTATCGCCTCGTAGGCGTTGAGGTTATTCACATACGAGCTGCGAGAGGGTCACTCCGAGCGAGCGTCTCTCTCAGTTGCTATGCATACAAGGAACGATGAAATAAGCATCAATTGTGTTTTCTTATTAGAAAAATTTACTTAACTTTTGGCTGAGAATTTTTTTAATCACTATTTCTGAATACACACAATAATAGGAAACCTCATTTATGCTCAAAAAAAGTAGCTTTGAATACTAAAAAATTCGCGTATAACTAAAGTTATTCGCGGGACTGACATTATTACGGTCTATTCTCCAGCGTATTAAAATTTCCTCACATATAGAGTTAGGTACCTTTATTATCGACGTATTGCGTAAATAAGTTTTACGTACTCGGGAAATTGTGTAAAGGGCTCGTTATCAAAAGTAAACGTAGTTAAGTGTCTCAGAACTAACACGAACAACACTAACGTATTTTGATAGTTATTAAAATAAGTATTACGTGGGTTATTGTGGATGCATATTTTAAAACCTGTGTTATTATTTTTTATAGCAACATAAAAATATTTAACTGCGGCTCCGAACTAGATAAATAAAGTGTGACTTGTTATGATGTATGTTCTAGAGTTACGTACATTAAAGTTGATTATAATATTTAGATTATTCAATAAATATGTTCTTTATGATATGATTTATTTAGTTATAGTAATAAACTAAATTATTACGTTAGAAAACAGTTGCTACTTATAGAAAGATTAATTTAGTGGTTTCCTAGCGGTGAGCGAACCTTCCAGACACGAAGCGTAACATTAGGTGTTAACTTGCCTTCACGAGACTAACTCTTATCTTGAAAATCCTCCATTCAAAGTAATAGGGCGTTAAGATGCTAATATTGGTCCAATCTACCTCATCTCATATGATTAAACTCTTTAGCACGAACTTAACTTGGAAATGGGACGTGATTATTTGCGGGAGAATTTTCAAGATTACCACACATTTTAGATTATAATAAGAAAATTACAGCTTCCGTTGTTTAATATTAACATTAATGTATGAAATATAATTTTTACCAGAAGTACTCGTAATAAATAACACTGTTCATTTATTACAAAATGGTTATTTTTATACAATCTTCGTTTTTTGATAGAGGAAAATGATATCTTCAATTTAATAAAGTGTATACATTAGCGAATAATGATTTAATTGAATTTTAATATGTATATTAAGAACGAGCGACTCCCCCTCGCTTCGCTCGTGTTCGTCGCTAGGTACGTTTTACCGGTTAGTATGAAATACAAATCTTTCAACTTCTCGGCTTTTCTGTACTATAACTATTAACTATAACTATAATGTGCATGTATTATACCTTTATCTTGAATAACTCTATCTATTAAAGAAAATTGCATTAAAATCCGTTGAGTAGTTTAAAAGATCTAAGCGAACATACAGCGGAAGCGAGTTCATTTTATACTATGTAAAGATAATTGATACGATCGGGACACCTCATAATCGGTTCTAGCACAAATATGACTGTAAACACAGTCAATATAAAGTATACACCGATACTGTTGCAGCAAACCAGTCCCCGACTGAGGCGTGCACTGGCGTGTTGATCCAGAACAAGCGCGACTTAAATACAAATAAAAAGTTTGCAATGTTAGCATTGCTGATTGAGTTAGTTCGCGGTTTTAAAACATTTAATACATTAATAATCAATTTCAAATCAAAATACTAGTGCAGTTTTCTTTTATATTACAAAAATAATTAAAATGTAAAGATATTACTGATACATTGGTCTCACTTGTTCTGGACTGATCTTAAATGTAAGTACGAGCTAAGTAAAACGATAAGTAAAAGTGAATAATTACTTTGCGTCCGCTCACCTCGTCCTCGTGGTACCAGAAGATGTAGGCGGGCGGCTCGGGGCTGAACTGGATGAGGCAGGTGAGGTTGATCGTGGAGCCGATGTCCACGTGCAGGTCGGGCCCGCCCAGGATGCGCGCCGATGGCACTGCAATAGACAGATAGATTGTAAAATTAAACTACTGCGCTATTTTTCTTTTACTTCAAAATTTATGTGTAATTCTAGGTAGATACCAGCTGTAATAATTATTTATATAATAACTTTTAAGATGAAGACGACGCGACTTCACGACTTCTTTTTTTGTGGACGGTTGACGGGAAGAAAAAATCAAAATAAATCCGTAAATTAATCAGAAAAAATAGTTTTATTAAAAATGTCAAATATTCTTTCCTTATATGAAATAAAAGTTGAAAATTAAAATCTCAATATATGTACATATAATATGTGAGTATAATTTATGTAAAAACCACTTCCATTAGGTATCCTAATTCCGAGCTTCTGTTCCGTAAAGTAGTGTGTATTAGGCTGTATGTTTATAAATGTTAGACACAACCAATGTTTCTAAATAAATTAATTATGTTATTTTGAAAAATAAATGAGTCTTAAGCTCCATATTGAAATTTCAAGACATTATGTAAAGTATTTCTCATCTAAATAACAGGCGCGTGTAATGTTTGACTTTGATATCAGTTAAGATCTCTCAGCGAACGAGGGCTTTTGGTGTAAGTACGTACACATTATATTGAAATTTATATAATCTTTACATACATACATATTCATGGTTTATTGACAGTTATAAATCGCTGGATCTGTTTCAATGTTTAATAGTATAAAAAAAATGAAGGATAGACAAAAGGGATAAACAGAAAGTTTTCTAATCTTACTATATTCTTTCATTAGGTTTAAATATTAAATATAAATTCATTATGCTACTTATAGAGTAAAATAAGGATTAAATAATTTCCACTTTCCAAACAAACCAAATAAATATTTAATCATTTAATGAACACAGAAGAAGACACAGATTATTTTTTATAATTTAAATTTAAGAGATATCCGCTATAAAACATTGTTATCGCAATCCATACGTTACGTCCGTGGCGCTGTTCTTTCAACGCGCGATCTGGGAACTCACGATAGTAAGTCATAAATCATTAAAGCTTCCACACAAACTGCAGACCAAAAGCTGTAGTACACAATTATAGCGGAGTAATTTCTCTGGAGGACTACATTTAATTATTACTTTCATGAAAACGAACGTTTCTTAGGTAACTTTTTCAGGATAACTTAACGAATATATCAAACCCTAGAGACATAAATTAGGTACGGTAGGCACAATAGAGGCTCTCCCTCGGCCTGCTTTGTTGTAATCGTTTATCCGAGGGGCTTGAAAGGGATATCATCTTCTATTTACTGATATAAACATCTTATACCGAATAAGGCATAGCTATGGCTACATTATTTATTATTAGTTATAATAAAAAAATTATTTTTAAATGAAAATATTTTAAACGTGTTTTCATACTTTTTCGATACTGATTTGGTGTTACTGTGTCTAATTTTTTAACTACATCCATATTAAAATAATTATAAATGAAAAAATATGTTCTATGTTTGTTCTCGATACTCGCATAGTAGCAATGGAACGATAATATACAATATTATAGGCCGGAGAGTGGACATAAGCTTACCTGACAAGTAGTTAGCGCCTCGGCGGTAATTAATAAACTATTATATCTAGAAATACAAACGTGAAACCTCAAATGACAGTTACTTTAATAAGTATAAAAAGAAATGCTTATGAACGTAAAATTCTTAGATAACGCGTATCACTCCCCCGTATATAATTAAGAACTGTTACGCTCCCCTTTCTACGTAAAATCAGTTTCCATTTTATCTTTTCTCTACCCTTCTATTGTAATTCTCGTTGTTTGATGAAATAAACAGGTAAAGCGATTAGAATTCCAAGTTATTATTAAAGAAGTTAGGTAATAAATGTTACTTTGACTTATACAAATTAGTACATCGCAAAGTCTAGGGGGTTGTTTACATTTTATATTTTAAGACACTTAGAATATAATAAATTACACAAAAAAGAGTATACCATTTACATGGTGAATGACTATACAGCCTATTTCGATTTAAATTTGCTTTGTATGGCTGGCACCGATTTCGAAAATATTTGATTAGGTATGTATTTAATAGATAGGCTTTAATTACTTAGCCAAAGCACACCGTCTTCGAAAATATTTGATTAGGTATGTATAGTAAATGAAAACTACCAATCAGTTATTTTTTACTTTTTAGTGCTTTTGTTTGAAGTCGGTTTTTATTTTTTTGTTAAAAAGTTTTTATTTTTCCCTTTTTAGTGTAGACAGTAGTAGCGAAGTAAGAATTCTAACGTGTTAGGCTTGTCAAATCAAACAAAATAAGCCCAAACTCAAAGTATCTACTATTAGCCGTTGAAGAGTTCCACCTATCCACCTTCTGGCCTTACCATCAGATCAGGTCAATAATACCGAACCACTGTACTATCAACGGAAATAGAATCACTTGCAAATTTAAAGTTAATATGACAATTAGAAGTAGGTTAAATTCATCATTAGCTATTTTTCCACCCTTAGGTGTGGTATTTTTTTTTGAAATTTAAATGGGACCTATCTGGAAGTATACCCTTTCAAACAACACAAAAATGGTCCAAATCGGTTTAATAAATGACGGAGTTCTGAGGTAACAAACATAAAAAAAACAGTCGAATTGAGAACCTCCTCCTTTTTGAAGTCGGTTGAAAAAGATGAATTATTAAGTTATATGTTGTCATTTATGCGGTAATGTAAAACAGAAATTGACAGTTGGCATGATGTAAGATCATTTTGTTTACAATAGGTACTGTTGTGATATTATTAAAAAATTAAATACAATAAAGCCTTAATTGTTGTGGAAATATGTATTATACATAAAAAAGGATGTTTACCATTCGTTAAAGGTATGTTTATCTTTTGTAATCATATAGTTAGGTAAAGAAATGTATGGAAATGTATTAGATATGTTGTAACTTTAAGTCTCAATAACTTTTTACTCCTACGTTTCTTTAAAATAATTTTTATATATTTGGGCTCCCTGTCACCTCCTCTATCCAAAAATACCACCCACTCCGCCAGGGGCCGCGTCCCATACTACTTGTGGCCTTTTTTGTCAAGGTTAGACATAGAAAAGATAAAAGAATATATCTTAAAAACTACATAACATTAGCACCTAAGAGATTTTATAAGTTCTTTACCTTCTTTAGACAGCACGTTTGGCTCAGTCGGTTTAGTGGCCCTACTTGCTGTGCCAGCGGTCGCGGGTTCGAGTCCCGCTGGGGGCATTAATTTGTGTGATGAGCACAAATGTATTCCTGTCATGGGTGTTTATATTTGTAATATGTATGTATTTAAAGTTATATGTGTAGTGTATCAACTATCTGGTATCCATAACACGAGCCTCGAAGATTACCTGGAACTATATGGTGCTGTGTGTTTATGTTTCAATATATTATTTATTCATGTTATTTAAATTGCACCCATTAAATAAAACGTATCACTCCTGGTGCTCAGGTAGGTATGTGAAACAAATATCTATTTGCATAAATCACGTACTCAGTCCATTGACCTCGTATATATGTACTTACATACGTACCATGTATCTACAAGCAACAGCTCAAAGGTCATGAATCAACATAATTACTAAACAATAAACGTAAATAACACTTATCTTCTGGTTCTGAGTATATCATTGTAGATATTTTACGAAATTATCAAAGAAATGGTATTCCGTCGGGGACATGAAAATTATTTTACTCCTTAGCTATTCAGTTAGAGCTTTAATAATAAATATTAATTTCATCGTTGGTTTAACGATTAGTGGATCCAGACGCGTTTCTATTGTTTCTGAGTAAGTTTTATATTTATTTAGATGGTATCTGGTAGATAGAGAGCAGAGATAGATAAGTAAAATTTGTCAATAAAATATTTCAATAAAACAAATAGGCAATAGCTCAGGGCAAGTTTTCGATTAGGTACTAGTGCACTAGGCAGTACTAATCAACAATATTTTTTTTAATTATATACAAATTATATATTTTTTTCTTAACAATTGTTGAAACACGACAGAGTTTTTTAAATTCTTTTATACGACCGAGACAAAAACACAACACTGATGTAATCTAATCTATTCTTACGTATAAAATCTACACATATAATAAAATTCTATCAAAGCTGAATCTGTACATAAAATATTTTTTGGAATATCTTATTGAAATAGATATTATTATCGATACAAAGGCCGAATTTATAGTTTTTAGACTTTTTGCCTGGCTGTCTGTCTGTCTGTCTGTCTGTCTGTGACCGCATCATGAGAAGACCACTGGACAGATTTGATGAAATTTGGTATGACGATAGCTGGTTTCCGGGTCAACATATAAATAATATCTCATCTCTGAGCTAAAAGTTAAAACGTAGTTATAATATAAATATAATTTTATACATCATTCGGTGATCACTAACATCTAAAATAGTCAAAGCCTGTGAGCCTGTATCTTAGATGTTAGTTTAAAAACAAAAGTTTAATATAGGGCGTTAATGCAATAATACACTTTCCATGTTCAATATGTTCTATATGACGAGCTCCACTTACATATGAACACAAGAAACATAAAACTATGTTATTAAGGATTCGTACAATTCACAGAGTGTGGAATAACTGCGTTAATGGGTCGACTGAATATGCGTAGGAATTAATTGTAGAGCAGTTTTTAAGAGCAGTATATAATAGAAGTGGTATCTACGGGTACTTCAGAGATAACATATGGAGTGTTTTTTGTTTTTGCTTTATTGAAAAGTTACCTAATTAAATTAATGATAATGGTATTTGGCACAAAATAATGTCAAGAAAGTTACAATACTCTATTATAATAATTGAAAAAAATAAAAATTAAACCAAGGAAAAAAAACGTTTCATAACCTTTCATTTCGCACGTGGCAGAGTTTGTATGCTTTCTTTTCTATACAAATAATCTCTCTTAACATGCCTCGGTGGACTAACATGTACGGTTGTAGATTCAGCGGTTTTAGGTTCGAGTTCCGGGTCGAGCCAACTATATTTACTGAGTTTTTCTATCAAGATATTCTCAACAGTAGCCCGGAGTTGGGAAGTTAGCGGTGTTCACTTCCTTGCCTCGGATAGCACGTAAAGCCGTTGGTCCTGCGCCTTAAGTCTCACCGGTTGTGTCGAATATTATTCCATCGGACTTAGAGAGTGATAGGAATAGAGAGTCTGCGCGTACACTTGAGCACTATATCTCCTGCGCAGATGGCTAGCCTCAGTGAGATAGGGCGCTGTGGCCGAAATCGGTTAGTTTATAAATAATAAAAATAGCCATAAGAAAAATCCGCAATGTAATGTTTATGTGTACGATCCCATTTCCTCCAGGTTTGATTGCAATCGCTAACTGTTGTCTCCTGACGCCACCCGCCTCGCCCGCGCCGCCCACCCCGCCCGCGCCGCGCGGTGATTTACGGGCGCATTAAAAAGCAATTAAAGGAAAAGGGCGTGAGTACCGACCTGTTCTACTGTGTATCGTGTTTCTTCACATTTTCCTTGTTGAACCAGTTCTTAATTAATGCTTTTGTAAATGAACTATGGAACGGGACGATTGGACGTTTTTTTTACTTAGTATTACTAGCAAAACCAACTCTTGTTCGCGTATTATTGGAATAATTCAAACAAAATTGCAACCTTTGTTCCGTGGGAACCCTTTATTTTCTCGGAAGAAAAATTTAAGTTTCTTTGTTAGTAATATTTTAAGCATTGACGTACATATGTATATTTATGCCAATTAATATCTAACTCCTCGGTGATTTTTGATAAAAAGAGTTTATATATAATTTTTGTTTCTTATAACGTGGTAACCCTTTCCTATCACGAGATTAAAACCCTGTCCCCCTCACTGACCCTCGTTTCTCCCGCGGGTATTCTTCTGTACTAAACATTACAATTATCAGTGGCTTATCAGAGAAAACATCATCGCTTACATCTCTCACTTCTGTACGAAGTTTTGATTGCTTTGTTTGATATTGTATCCATTTTATAAGTACGAGGTTTTTTATTATCAAAGTTTTAGGTGCAGTATCTTTACGAGAGTAGAGCGACAAACTATGTACATATTACATTGAAAATGTGTATCGTACGTGTAGTGGATATAAAGTAAATGTAATGCAATAGAACTCACAAAATACAAAACTGTGAACATAATAGTTTGAAACGATCAGCATCTCGACCATAGTTTCTGTTAATGTATTTCACATTGTTATTAAATAAAGATTTATGAGGTTATGAAGGTGCATTAAGATCTTTAGAGGGGTTTAACTCTCTGTTCACAAGATTAAATTATTAATTTTTATAATTACATATATTATTTAGATATAAGTTGTATTATATGCTTTATAAGACATAAGTTTTGTTTCCTATAAAAATAATATAGTTTCCGCAGGATATTTGTGTATTTCAAGAAGTCACGAGGGTAGTAGCGCGCGACTAACGTTACAGTTCAATACTTCAATATTTTTGTAAGTTAACTTCTTTACTGCATACTTCACTTGGATATTCTTAAAGCTATTTTCAAGATGTTTCAGTTTGGTTTACTGACAGAAATGAGTGAATTATACAGTTAATTCAGAATGCAGTGGCACGATGCAGCGCCTTGGCTTCACTGATGCAAATAGTCTGATATGAATGGTCCCAGGCGCCAGGCGCTAATACAAATTAGCGAGCGTAGCTATCTAACAATGGCGATGAAAGGAGACGCTAAGAACAATCGCGTTCTTGGCCGCAGTTACTCTATCCTCCGAGGTTTTGTGCGAGGGCTACCGACTTCAAAACGACAAGATTTTATAAGTGAAAATAAATAGCTTAGCGAGAGTTAGACTGTCAATGAACAGATAAAAATTATTTATAATAATACAACATAGATAAATTCAAAATGACAGCCGCACGAATAAAATAGTTAATATTTATTTGATGAAGGACTTTTTTCTGCTCCTCTCTAATTAGAGTCTCCCGTAAGTAGAATTTAGCATTATGAATTAATTTTACACTGCTTAGAATCGTTTGTCCTTACAATTTAAATAAGCGATATTTCTAATATAAATTACTTCTTACAACTTCGTGGAAACAATAAAATTAAAGGAAAATATCTACTTGATTATAATTTATTTCTAACTCACTAACAAAGAGCTCAAACCTAGAAATAACGGTCTTGAAAAATGAATTGTGCAAATACAGGAGTTTCCCAAATAATGAAGATAAGTACTGAGGAAGTATATTTAAAACCCTCTGATATTAGGGTAATAGGAGATAAAAGCTTATATGGAAGGTCGTCGTTCTTAAAGGAAGAAACGAAAGTATGTACGTTAAGTAAGGTACTTGCAATTCTACTTATAAGTTAAAGTTAGTAAGTTAATTACCATCCTTTTTAAAACTTAATTCCTAAAGGACGTTAAAGAGAGGATATACATATGTATATGCGATAGTGTTTTTGTTTAAAAGATTTATTAGGTTTGATTTGTAAGCTGTGCGCGGGTGTTTTTTTTTATTTTTATGAAGGTTGTAAAATATTAAAAATAAATCTATGGTTAAAGTATCAATATGCTAAGCAAATGTGCTTTGCTTAGTATAGAAGTATGCGATTAGTGCATTATCTGCTGTATATTATATCATTATATTATAGCATTATCTGTTTTCATTTTTTGGTGTAGCACGAACGAGTACCTAATACAGGTTGTTAATTTTAATAATCTCGTTTTTGATAAAAATAGACTGTAGAAACTGTACCACTAATATCTTTAAATTGGATTTCTTTAAACCAATATTTTCAATAAGGAGAAACATTGAGTCACGTAGGTACTCGTTAGAAATTTATTCACATTTTTATGGATAGACAAAGTTGTAAATAAAAGATAAATCTTTTCTATCTACTCTCATTCATTGTTACAATTTATATATTTTCTGTGAGTAGTCAGCCCTACGAATGCGCGCGGCGGGCGGGGGCGGGTGCAGGGGCGGGGGCGGGCGGCAGTGGCGCACTTAGCCTTACCCGCGACAAATTGGTTTAATCGCTTGCTTCTTTGTTGCATTAAGCGCTTCTTGTGAGCGAACTTTGGCGTCGCTAGCTGTTACAACACTGTTACGCTACGGAATAACAAAATACAGTATAATAATAATTGTATTGAGATGTAGCGACAAGTGCTACGCGACTACTTGTTCTAAGTTTTCGCGATGTAGTAAAAATATACACACTAAAATAGACTCACAATGCTGATTTTAAAATTGCTTATTTTAAATACAAATTTACTAAATTTTAAAACAGTCTCAGCTTGATGTACTCGTTCCAGTGTTCTTCTTTTAAATATATCACAATATCTTCTTTTAAATATATATCCTCATATTATTATGAACACAAATTCGCCTTATAATGCTGGTGACATATTTGGTAGTGTAGGTAGTTCTCGTGTGACTAATACGCTACATGCTTGACTGCAATCACAAATACGATTTAGCACGAGTTTAATTTCACATAATGTGTTAAATGTTCTAAAAAAGTGAAAAGTAAAGAACACATATTATCTAACTGCTGCGTCTCTATATAATGTGTTAGATACAATATAATTCTAAATATCTTGTGCATTCGCTAAAAGAAATAAGCTACGATAGTAAAACCAAGACGCAAGTTGTCGGGACGATGAATCTCGGGCTGTTAGAATTCAATGTAAGCGTAACCGTCGTCCCGCGCCGCCCGCGTGAGCCGCACTATCGCGCCAAAATGCTAAAGCCTTTTGCAGATGGCTTCACACTTTACGATTTACTACGATTGTATCATATCGTTTCTTTAAAGATATGTTGAAAATACAAATGTAACGAGCTAACATCGCTACATATTATGAATTAAAGTTTAGTTAATGTTTGTTCAGGCTGATCTTATAAACTACTGTCAATTTTTCCACCCGGTTTTCCACAATAGCAAGGAGGATTGTCTAGGAAGACTAGGCTATGATTTATAAATATTTTACAAAGATAATCTAAATCTAAAATCTATCAATTTAATAATATTTGTGAATTAAGTTAGAAAAAAATTTCTTCTAGAGACGAACGGAGCGGAGCAAGGAATTAGTTCTATGTAATTAGAGTACAAGTCACATGAAAAAAAATCATTCTAAATTAGATAATGTAGTCGCTATGTTATCGATGGATAAAGAAATTCATATACTTTTATTTGATATATAAAGAAGTTCTTCACAATTTGTTCATGGCACGCTACGCTATTTAATTATCCGCCGCGGCATCCTGGTGTATTTAATTCAAATATAATTCTATACTAGGTAAGTAGAAAACTTGGTCGAATTCCTGATAGCTTGTATATCGAGGGAGAAATAGGGCAGCTGAAAATTTAAATATTTTAAAAGTTAAAAGTAAACTGATAAGAAATATAAAATTTGTATTTTGCGTGCTTTATAAAGTTGAAAGAAACGGTTCATCTGAAATTATTTTATCGTAATTATGTATCATTACTATAAGCGTTAGTAAAAATTAAATTGTACAACATGAACCACACCCACGTAACCAGATCTGCATCTATTAATGTTACAAGTAAAAATATAAAAAATATGTTTCATACACAAGAACATACTTTACTACTACATACTATAATACTTGAACGGGGCAGGTTGGAAATTTCTTATAAGCACGGGTTGTTGGGTCAAAAGCAATGAAAACAGGTCAGCCACCGCGTTCTAATTGCGCTTATTATTCCTGTACCAGGCGGCTAAGCAAACGTACTGTAACTTTCCTCATTAACACTCCCCATGCTCCCGTGCACCGACCCCCGACCCCCGGGCTACCCATACGCCTCACGAAGCACCCCTTCTCATTTCAGTTCGAAATCTTCACAAAACAAATTGCTATGAGGCTTTGTAGTCTATCAGTCTAACGTCTACAAGACACCGATTTACTGAACTAGTTACCTCCAGCGGCGGCGACCGCATTAGATTTATTGCTCCCGTAATCGAGCGCTCCACTTTATATATGAGCGCATCTGTCGTAAGATATAGTTTGTATTGAAAAATGTTTGAACATGTTTCAATTTAATCACAAAAAATGACGTAGTGGTGACATGTTTGGCTTGAACTATGTACTCGGGTCTCGGGGGGAGGTCCTAGATTAGAGTCCTGTGTATGATATATTTGTATTGCGCAAAATGTTTATTTTTTTAATGCATGGATGGTAACCTTTACCCAGCATTTGTTGTCTTAAGTCACGAGAAAACAGAACGGTCTGCATACTTAAATTAGTTTTGGTTAAGTTGTCCTTAACTTGCACAATTCATTCTCATATGAAAATAAAAAGAAATATAGTTACTTAACGAAGATTCCAAGTAAAAGGAGCCAACTTTGTTGCAATAATGTATGTTAGAAAGTTAAATTCGTGCCGGTGACGTCGATACGGTTCCTTCCGTGCGTCTCTGCGCACAGGATGCGATGGAGCGGCACTTTGCAATAAAAGTACAATCGTATGGAGATGAGACACGAGCCGGAAAACATTTGAACAGTGCCAATAAATCAGGCGAACTACAAGAGATTCGATCGCTTCGAAGTTCCAACGTAGGTCGCAGCAAAAACGCGTGCGACGCGCAATGTATCATCTATCATATTTTTAAAATCGGGAGGAAATTTCAGCTTCGCTTTGCTCTGGAGTTATTGAATTTCCAATTTTTCTGCAAAGCATTTTATTCTATTTGCAGTTTGGAATGGTGTCGGCGCCGCGGGGTCGCCGCGCGACCCACTCGCTCGCCCGCGGTCCTGCGCGGGGCTCGGAGAGAACCATTTTGGAGGAAATAAGTTTCTCACAAAATTTCATCGTGCACAATACTTAAGCTAATTTATATTTTTATTCATAAATCAATAACATGATATCATAAAACATAATGTAATATTTGTGACTTAAGGCAATAGCAAAAATAATATTCGATCGCGATATAATTTTGCGTTTCCAAGTACGTAAGAATATTTTTATATAGCTATAAAGGTAAGCGATCTTTACGACACTACTCGCTGCGTGGCGCTGCGCGGTATTAGTTCGCGAGGAAACAATATTTTTCTGCGTCAAGAGCAGGCGAGTGAGGCGGTGCCTTCATATTGTACCTTGTTTTCTTGTTACACGTACATACTCTCAGTTCTGTTCATAGTACATCATGTCAAGATTTCTTTGTTTATATGTCAAAAATAATTTGATATTTCTTTTATTATTTTTTTTATTCCTATCCGACTTATATATACACTTAGTTCAGTATGAAGACGCAGCGTGGAAATTGGCCCACGTTCTAACTATCATCCTGTGTCAAGGTTCAAAAAACTTTGTTTTAGATTTAAGTTTGAATTCATTAATTTTGAAGTGAACCTTTAAATGAATCTTATTATTTATTTTAACTATATTTATTTTGTTTCTTGCTTATTATTATATGAATCATTTTAGTAGCGAAATTATTTAAGTAAGGGCGATATGTAAAAATTTAAAAATTAAATGTTATTATTTTCTATTATAGAATGAGCCAAATCTCAAATTAAAAAGATAATTAAAAGATCGTAAACTGACTATTTCAGTACTTCCGCTGCAGAGACGGAAGTGAAAAATGCTTTGATGAAATGTAACGGAGAAGCCAAAACTTGACTGAACTGTTGCCAGTTCTATTATAAATTTAATACAGAAATTATTGGCACATAACTTGCCAAAGTAAACCGAAGAAAAATAGCTATAACTAAGCTGATGTAATGAACCTTCACTTTTTAACTCCCGACGCAATAAGAGATTTATTATAAGTTTAAAGTGTGTATCTATGTCTGTCTTTGCCATTTTACTCGTAGCGGCCATACGATTGAACCGCTTTTAATTTAGTTTTTTTTTTTAATAAAAGGTCACTTAATTGAGAGTGTTCTTAGCTATAAATCAAGAGAATCCGTTGAGCTGTTTGCAGGAAATCGGGTCTTTTCTCGATGGTAAAATGATATGAACAACTCCCACAGATCTAATCCATTTGAAAGATGACATCAGGGGTTTTTAAATTTTAAATTTAATTTCTTGTTAAAGTTCGCTACTCGCAGAGTCGACATGTGAAAGACCTTTAAGGGTTTACTCGTATATATTTTTAATCGTTGTGCATAAATGGTTAATTTTTTTTGAAATGTCTTGTTACGGTTAAACGAAATGAAAGAGAAAATAAAGTAGAAATGACCATAAAGTATTTTCTTCTTTTTTAAGAAATCATATTATAGTAAAAACTAGCCAAGTGTAAGACTCGCGCCGGAGGTTTCAACTACTGCGACTATAAGTAACGCAAAATTTGAGAAATCCCTGACAACTTCGAAATTCCCCGAGACCTGGAAGTGCGCCAATATTCTTCCTATATTTAAAAAAGGAAACAAAAATAACATTCAAAACTACCGTCCCATATGTATTTTGAATATATTTTCTAAGGTTTTTGAAAGTTTAATATGTCCAGTTATTTCTAACTACTCCAAAAATATCATTTCTGCTGACCAACATGGATTTTGCCGAAACAAATCGACGGTATCAAATCTTGTCAGCTATATCTCTTCCCTAACCAAATACGTGGACAAAAAACAACAAGTCGACAGCATTTACACTGATTTTAGCAGTGCCTTTGACAAAGTCGATCATAATATCCTAATTTTAAAGCTAGGGGGGTATGGGATTCACGACCCATTACTGTCGTGGTTTAGATCACATCTCAGCAATAGAGTGTTGAGAGTAACAGCTAAAGGCTACACGTTAGATCCGTTTATCGAAACATCTGGTGTTCCCCAAGGATCTCACCTGGGCCCTATTTTATTTACACTATTTATAAATGACATAACAAATCATATACGTTACAGTAAGTGCTCCATTTTTGCAGATGATCTCAAAATTTATCTTGATATTAAAAAACCAGAAGAAAGCCATCTATTACAAAAATATCTTTGTTCAATCCAGAAATGGTGTACTGATAATAGAATGACCCTTAATGCTTCAAAATGTGCTCACATAAAATTCACTCGGAATAGGAGGAAGATTGACACAGCTTATTACACCCATGGTCAATAACTGCAAGAGGTCTCAGTTGTAAAGGATCTCGGTGTTATGATTGACTCAAAACTTACTTTCTTAGAGCATCAAAATCAAATAATTTCCAGGGCCTGGAGAATGCTTGGTTTCATCAAGCGTAATACTCTTAAATTTAAAGGGACTGATTGCATTATTACAATATTTAATGCACTGTCAAGAAGTATCTTGGAATATGCTTCACCGGCATGGAACCCCCATTATAAGAGTCATATCGCTAGAATAGAGAGTGTCCAGCGTTCTTTTACAAGATACTTGTCCTACAAAAACCACTCTTGTCCCTATAGAGCCGACTACGCGACACGGTTGAAACATTTTAGAATAAGAACTCTGGAAAAACGGAGGCTTGTGAGTGATCTAGTTACTCTGCACAAAATAATCCACAATGTTCTGGATACTCCCGAAATTCTTTCTCAAATAAATGTGAATGTCCCGCACTGTACTCCTAGATTTCCTATAAAAAATATATTTTCACCTAGCACTTCCAGGACCAACCTTGGCAAATATTCCCCAATAAACCGTTTAATTAATGCGTACAATAGTTTACTAAATACCGACAATGGCATTGAAATTGATATTTTTAACGACACTCTAAATAACTTCAAAAAAATATATATTTGTATGACTGAACTAATATAATAATATAATTTTATAAGTAATTTTATAAGTATAGCTGTTTCAAATTATAAATACTAATAATTATTTTTATTGTACATATTATTCTAATTTTAACATTAATTTATATTATGATTATTTAATTATAGTAGTTAATATGTGTAATTCTTTAATTTAATTTCATCTATTATAAATATTTATTAGACATTGTATTTAAAATTTTATATATTATTGTTTTAAAGCCGGAAATGTTATTAATGCTGTGTATGCCTATAATTAATGCTTGTACTAGAATAAGTAATCTTATAATATAATAATTTAGAATGTAGGTACAATGTATTGTTGGCATATCTTTCAAATAAATAAATAAAAATGTAATTTTAAGTGACACAGAACCTGCATTTTTTCGAATCCCATAGTTTAAAAACTTACAATACTATGTATTAGGAGCGGTATTGGAATAAGTTTTTGATTCGAACATCAAACAGATTATCTCGACCATGAAAAACATATGTATTATTAAAGTTGCATTTGTAGCTTGGGGCTAATGTTTCAATTTATATAATGTAATAGGAACATTTGCTTATCATAATTCTATCTATTTTCAATTATAACTTCGATAGACATTTATAAAAAATTAAGATGAAGACGCTGTCTTAATCTCAATCTCGTGCTAGCGAGCTGAGGTATGCGTGAGACAACAAAAATATCAATTATCTTAAACGAGTCGAAGTATTTCTACTCCTATGTTACGCCATACCTCGATTACTTTGAACAGGTTCTAATGGTCATGCTTCAGTAACTTCTCGAAACATCCCACGGGGGCCAATTGATGTACTGAGATAAGGTAAGATGTGGTAAATAAGTATCGGCTCATAAACAGCATAAACTTCCTATGCAAGAATTTCACTGATACTTAAAATTTACAATATTAACAATCTCTATTAATTTATTGTAAAAATAATAAATATAGGAAATTTATATACTTATATATGCAAAAGAGCAATTCAAATGAGTATAATCAGTATTACGTAATAGCATGTTGGGATGCGAGCCGGTACATACTTAGACAGACAGTAAGCTGTTAATCAGCGTTAGCGAGGCGTGCCGTGATGGCCGGTGATGGGCGATGTATGCTTTACGAGGATATTATCCCGACATGACCAATGCTTGCGTAAACGTCATTTTGTGATATGATTTCACGTTTCGGTCTATACTAAGTGTCCGCATTGATTCACTTGTCTTTGTTCCCCAGTCACGCGCTGAACGGCTCTGTCAGGTATTTCTGATGAAATGTGGACTGATTATAATATTGTATATGTTATAATATTTCAGATCTTCCTGATATGTACTCTTTTTAAATAAAAGGCACCGACGTCGAAAATATCTGATTAGGTATCTATTCTAAATGAAAACCTCCGTTATTTTTTACTTTTTAGTGCCTGAAAGTCGGTTTTTATTTTTTGTTAAAAAGTATTTATTTTCCAATTTTTGTTAAAATGTTTTTATTTTTCCATTTTTAGTGTAGACGTAATAAGCAAGTAATTTGTAAGAAGAAAGTTTTTTAATAAAATATTCGAATAAACAATTTACTTAAAAAAAATATTTATTGCTGTTTTTTTTTAAAACCGCTTGACCGATTTCGATAAAATTTATATGGGACCATCTGGGAAGTATACCCTTTGAAACCAAAAAAATATTTCCAAATCGGTTCAGGCGTCTTCGAGTAATCGGTGAACATACATAAAAAAAAGATAATACTTTCTTAGATTTACGCGAATGTTTGACATTTTTAAATAAAACTATCTTTTCGGATTATTTCGTGGATTTATTTAATTTTTGGTTTTCGACGTTTCGAATGCTTTACAGCATCTCTCCCGTGACCACGGATACTGTAAAAAAGATTCCGATGAACTGAGAACCTCCTCCTTTTTGGAATTGGAAGTTGGTTAAAAAGTGAAGTGAAGGGAAGAAAGTTTATAAAGTAGTGAGGACTGACACAAAGTCAAGGCAGTCAGTTTAGTTAAGATTCAGACACTAGATCACTTAAATTCAGTTATAAAATTTAACCATTTAAATGTATATAATATACCTACTATAACAATATACTACGTCATATCGTTTTTCACTCCACACTTTGTGTT